GCGTCTGCGGCTGGCTGGTCCTCAAGCCTACACCAAAGCCCAGATCTCCTCCGTGCAGCAGGGCCAGGGGCTGCTCGAGAAGATCATCAAGCAGGCCAAGCACATCTTCCTCCGCAGCAGGTCACTCCAGTACTCCCACCTTCTGACTTTTTTCTCATGTATCTTCACTTGTCTTTGCACTTTTCCAAACTTACACTGAGATGCTTTATTTATCCAGGTACAAAAATTTACGTAGATCAGATAATGTGTTATATGAACCCTTAAACTGCCTCCACCAAAATTCCCGAGTTTGCTAATAAATGTAATAAAGGTTTGCTGTTTTCACCCAGGACTGCGCGGACCATCGACAGCCTGGCCAGCCGAATAGAAGACCCTCAGATCCAGGCGCACTGGTCCAACATCAACGACGTGTACGAGTCCAGCGTCAAAGTGCTCATCACCTCTCAGGGCTACGAGCAGATCTGCAAGTATGTCCTGTGCTCAGTCTGCCCCGTTTAAGCGAGTGGAGGTGTTACAGCATGGTAGAAGTGATAAAACAGAAATGACCTTAGAAAACATAGTATGCCTGAAAACATAGGTCTGTTATAATCTGATACATGAATCAGTATTTTAAAATGATTTATCTAGTAGTTTGCCCAGGGTTTTGTCATTACTGGGCCTATTCACATGAACCAAAAAATACAGTACTAATGAACTGAAGGGAAGATATCTTTGCACTGTAACCATTGTGGATATTCTGGTACATTTGAAATTGGACTTTGAAATACTTTGAACTACACGCTGTATGTCTGATGAGAACTGCAAAACAAAGTCAAAGGCAAATCAAATGAATTCTGTGAGCACAAAATAAGGTTGTATACTGTATGGGCTCAGGCAGACTCTGCTTCATTCCTTTGGGCAGGGGGTGCTAGTGAGTTTGTTTACCCAGGGTGACATACTTTACATAATGATTTATAATGTTGTACATGTGTCTATCATATTTACCTAAACAGTGAACATGGTGAATGCATAACATTATAAAAAGCCCCCTAGTGTCCAAAAAAAAGGCCTTCATTATTATTTTCTGAGCCAAATGTAACTGTGTGCTGTGCCTGGGCAGGTCCATCCAGCTGCAGCTCAACATCGGGGTGGAGCAGATCCGGGTGGTGCACCGAGACGGCCGTGTGGTCACCCTGTCCCACCAGGAGCAGGAGCTGCAGGACTTCCTCCTGTCCCAGGTAAGAGCACTTCTCCTCAGGCAGAGCAGCTGTGAAGCACAGGCTAAAGCTTATACTGTGTGTGTGTGCGTGTGTGCGTGTGCGTGTGCGCGCAGATGTCCCAGCATCAGGTCCATGCCGTGCAGCAGCTGGCCAAAGTTATGGGCTGGCACGTGCTCAGCTTCAGTAACCATGTTGGACTGGGACCCATCGAGAGCGTGGGCAATGCCTCTGCAGTGACTGTGGCCTCCCCCAATGGGGACTACGCAATCTCAGGTACGGCTCACCTTCACACAGTCCACTCATGAGTATAGTATCAGCTATCTTCATGTGTTTGCACTTCTCTTCACAGTGCGCAATGGTCCAGAGAGTGGCTGTAAGGTGCTGGTTCAATTCCCCAGAAACCAGAGCAAAGAGCTGCAGAAGAGTGAGGTGGTGCTGGACTCCAAGTGGAGCCACCTGAGAGGGCCGTACAGAGAGGTGCACTGGAGCAAGATGGAAGGCAGGAACTTTGTGTACAAGATGGAGCTGCTGATGGCTGCACTCACACCTGCTCCCTGAACTGTGTGCAGCGCTCCTGAACTTCCTCTTCTGACTCTGTTCCTGAGTGTAGAGAGACTGTGCAGCCTGAAGTTACACTATTGTCAACAACACGTCTATGAGAAAGTCCTTGAAAATACTTTTCTACAAATACAACAGTAGTCACTGCAGGAGCTCCCACTTTACTTCATACTGTATGTACTGTTGGTAACTGACCGAAGTCAGTCCAGTCTTCATTAAACCAGTGTTGTTGTGCACATAAGTGTGTGCAGCTCCGTCACATCTGCTGCTGTCAAAACAAAGTCAAAGCTGAAGTGTGAAATTAAACAGAGCTTTGGACTCATGGGCCCTGCGCTGTCATTCACTCAGTCTGGGCACAGTCACACACACAACATCTACTTTACTCTTTGCTCTTTATGTTAGTTTGAGTTTAAGACAAACCAACTATAGAACGATATCAACTCATGTGACAGTTCCACTGCTGTTCCACTAATGGCATCAGAAACCATATTTTCCACTTTGTCTTCTGTGCTCGTTTTCTGTTTAAACACATTCTGAATGAATAAACCTGTATATGAAGTATTAGAAGGTTGTTTTACGTTTTCAGTGGGTTTTACACTCTGTCCAGGAAACACATGTTGAACATGAGCAGAGCAGCCACGTCCCAGAGCTGAGACAGACAGGTAGGCAGAGCTGGAATGATTCTAGTGAAGTTGTATGGAGTTTAAAAACACAGTGGAGCACTTCCTGTATTAACATCTCAAGGTGGAACAAAGTGTTTTATGTTTAACAGAAGATCTTAAATCTGCAGGGTTTGTGTGTTAAACATGTGAAAGAAACAAAACAACTCTGTTTGTTCCTTTTGATGAGGAAACAACAGTATAACAGATGAGAAAATAGTGTCATTTAACTGTCACATTGCAGATTTGTTGACCTGGTTGTTTGGTTAATATCTCTAATTACTGGGCCTACCCACATGAAACACAAACTGGCACAAAGTTTGACGTCTTTTTTGTCAGTAAAAATTTAAGTGAAACTATATTTCCACATAGCTTCAGAAAGTGATGACACTATTCTGTATATTGAACCACTCCTCGGCAAATGAGGGGTTAAATGGTTCTGACTGAAGCTGTCCACTGTGTCAAAGGTGTGGCCTTTGAAAATGACTTCAAAGACAAGCACAAATCAAGCAATTTGTTCAATGTTTATGCTCAGTATTTAAGCAAGGCAAGTTTATTTGTACAGCACAATTCATACACAAAGTAATTCAAAGTGCTTTACAGAATAAGAAATACATTAAAATCACCAAAAAAAACTAATAAAAACATAAATAATCATCACAAAATTAAAGATTAAAATAACGAGAGCGAGACGTTACATAAATTAGAGAGGAGTGTGGAATGAAAAACACTCAGTTATATGCACAGTGAAACAGAACCGTTTTGAGCCTGGATTTTAAACAGCGTCACAGAAGAGTCTGTCTCACATGTTCAGGAAAACTGTTCCAGGTTTTAGCTGCATGAACCTGAAACTCTGACTCCCCGTGTTTAGTCGTGACTCTGGGCACCAGCAGGAGGTCGGTCCCTGAGCTCCTCAGAGTGTGAGATGGTTCATATGACACTAACATGTCACAGATGGACTTTGGTGCTCGGCCATGGAGACACTTGTACAAGCAGAGCTGCTTTAAAGTCTGTTCTCTGAGCCAAGGGCAGTGTTGGGAAGGTGACTTTTAAAATGTATTCCCCTACAGATTACAGATTACATACCCCAAAATGTAGTTTGTAACGCAATCCGTTAAATTACTTAAAGTGAGTAACGTAATCTGAATACTTTGGATTACTTGATTTGCTGTAGAGAAACAAAAACGAGGATATCGTAACATAAGATATTTTGTCTGTTAAAAGACAAAAACCCAGACTTTATTGAACCAAATTAAAAATATTATTGATAGAAGACGAGGAGACACGGTCCACGCAGCAGGATTTAGTCCTGTTAAATCCTGGTTACCTCCGCCAAGGAGGTTATGTTTTTGCCGGCGTTTGTCTGTTTGTTTGTCTGTTTGTTTGTTTGTCTGTTAGCAACATAACTCAAAAAGTTATGGACCGATTTTGATGAAATTTTCAGGATTTGTTGGAAATGTGGAAAGGAAGAACTGATTTCATTTTGGGGATGATCCGGAAGAAATCCTGGATTCTGGATCACTTTGAAATTTTAGTTAACATTGTGGTAAATGGGGCCAAAAATTTTGTTTCTCAATATCTCGGTTAATTATTGACCAAACCCCATGAAATTTGACTCAGGGATGGACAATGGGATCCTCTTTCATATTCCAAAGGCTGATCCGGATCTGATCCAGAAGACTGATTTTATTGCAATTTATATAAAAAATGGGGGTAGTCCTTGGCGGAGGTCTGCGCTCTCTGAGTGCTTTTCTAGTTTAGTCCTCTTTTAGTCCTGGTTTAGTCTTGGTTTAGACCTGGTTTAGTCCTGGTTTAGTCCTGGTTTTAGTCCTGGTTTAGCCTAAAATGCGAAAACAGGAAATACCACTGTAATCCATTTATTTCAACAAAGTAACTGTAATCCAGTTACCACTCATGGAAACAGTAACTGTAACTGAATACAGTTACTCATAATTTGTACTCTGATTACATAACTCCGGTACATGTAATCTGTTACTCCCCAACACTGGCTACAGGAGCCAGTGCAGAGACCTGAGCACAGGACGCATGTGCTCGTACTTCCTAGTTCGAGTCAGGACCCGAGCTGCAGCGTTCTGGATGTTCTGGATGTTCTGGATGTTCTGCAGCGTCTCACAGCTCATTTGGAGAGACCAGTGAGCAGAACATTACAGTATCTAACCTACTGGAGACAAACGCATGGATAAGTTTCTCCAAGTCTGCTTTAGACAGTAAACCTTTGATTTTTGACAAGTTTTTCAGATGGTAAAAGTCTGCAGATGTTATTGATTTGATGTGGCTGTTAAAGTTCAAGTCTGAGTCCATTATTACCCCGAGATTTCTTGCCTGATTTGAAGGTTTTAGAGAGAGAGACTGGAGGTGATGCTGACACTGTCCCTTTCTTTCTGTGCACCAAACACTATACACTATGACTAAAGTCTTGCCTGAGTTTAGTTATTTAGTTTGAGAAAAAGTACAGACATCCTTTGCAAATGGGGGCTGTTCAGGAGAGGAGGCTGTGCTGAGGCGTGTCTCGGGCCCCTGTATGTCCATCTCCACCAGAAAGGTTACAAAGTCAAAAAGACACTTTTTTTTTTTTACACACTTACATTTATTGGGACTTCATCTCAAAAACATTACATTTTTGCAGGAGTATTTCATGTTACACGTCATATTAAACTAGATCTGCAATTTCCTGGACAGCTGTGTACCTTCAGTTTTGCCCTACAACTATGGACCAACTATGTTTAAAGGTGCATTTATTATTATTATCATTATCATTATTATTGTTGTTGTAGCATCCAGTCCAATTGAGAAGGCCAGAACTGATATACAAATGACTTTTCATCATTCCATGCCTTGTCATAGAACCGATGTAAGAGCCCGACAAGAACAAAATAACAGAAATGACCTTAAGATCACTGTATTACTTACTCAATACATAGTGCAACTGTTAGTCATACAATTTTAACAGTACAGCTTTACAGATAAAACAAACCTTGTTCCCCAATCGATTGTTGCTATCTTTGCTATTTGCTGTTTCCGTTTGGTCGTTACTTCCACTCACACAGGACAATCCCAAAATAAATGCATGTAAAATTACGACTGTATGTTAAGTATATAAGAGCTAACTTGACCTTTACAATGATTACTATTATATATCGTGTGTCTGTGTATGTCTATTTCCTCCCATGTGGATGTTAATGTGCACTGTGGAACTTTTCTGGTTTTCTTCACGGAGATGTTGCTTTGTAGTATACGGAAGCCGAGAGGGGTCACAACAAACGCAAACGCCGAAACAAATACAAACGCGACAACACACCAAAAAGCCACAACACATCAAAAAAAAACACAACGGAAATGACCGCGGGACTCTATTTTCCAACGGACCAATCAAGCAGCAAGTGAAGAAGAAGAACTACAACGTGAAAAGTAAAAGAACAGAGAAGTTGGAAACGTAAGTAAAAGTAATTTATTGTTTTATGATTATTCATTTCACGTTGTAGTTCTTCTTCTTCACTTGCCGCTTGATCGGTCCGTCGGAAAGTAGAATCCCGCAGTCACTTCCGTTGTGGCTTTTTAATGTGTTGTGGCTTTTCAATGTGTTGTGGCATTTGCGTTTGTGTTGTGGCGTTTGTATTTGTTGCGGCGTTTGCATTAAAATAGAGTCCCGCGATCATTTCCGTTGTGGCTTTTTTTTTGTTTGTTGTGGCTTTTTTTGGTTTGTTGTGGCTTTTTGTTGTGTTGTCACATTTGTATTTGTTGCGGCGTTTGCGTTTGTTGTGACCCCTCTCGGCTTCTGTAGTAGTATGGCATTAAACCTTTATATCTTCATTGTGACCAAACCAGACCAGGTTACAGGTCAGATCTGTGGAGAGAACCCCGCTCACATTCAGAATGCCTGTTTTTATTTTATTTTTTATTTTTTAGCTAAAAGAAACACCTGTAGTTGAATAAATGTTAGAAAGAGTTGTTTAATGTCACACTGTGGAACATTCTAAACAGAGCGACGTCATATCCACAGAAACAAGCAGGTGACAGACCCGCAGCTGAAAAGTTACACAGTGCCCCTTTAAACTAAATTCAGGTCTAGGTATGTTTTTAACGAGGAGACAACAATATAGCAGGGTTAAAAACTCCTTTAAGTGGTTTCCCTCATGGTTTGGTGGATTTTGCTCAGACCACCACAGAGGAGAGGGTTAGATCCCCCTCGATCTCCAGGGTGTTGATGTGCTGTAGATGGTGGAAGCGGTGCCTGTACTCATGAGCCTGCATTCCATTCACAATGATCCGGAAAGCCTGGCGCTCACAGCAGATGGTCAGCTGAAAAAAAAACACACAGAGGTGATTTAAAGGGACTGTGTGGAGTATGTGCTTTTACTCTTAAAAAAGTACAACAATCACAACAGAACCTGTGTTTCCTTAACCTGCAGCTAGAGACACAATCAAGTGTGTCTCATTCTCAGTTTATGGACAGGCCTCTTATGAAGCTCAGAACCTCCAGAATTCCCTCCCTGAGCTGCAGAGGCTGCACTAGCACTGACTCATGACTATCTGCAGGGGCTGGGGTTTAAGGAGTGACCATTCAGATCAGAGAGAGACCTTTTACTGGATTCCAGCATTAGAACTAGCAACCCAAATTAAAAACCCATGTGAGGCTCATTCTGCTTTTTGATTGGATAAATGTCTTAAGAACCAAAACACAAAATTATAACAAATGAATTAGACTTACTTATTTTATGTCCATAAATTTTGTAATTAAGAATCAATCAGCATTATAGTTGTCACCATTAAAAGCTGTATTTGACATTTTGACCTGTCACATTGTGAAAGAATTTCTATGTTATTTTAAGTGTTATGAATCATTTAACGACGTAATCATATGTGTGTGAGAATAAAGTTATCAATAATTGTTTTTTGGGTTTTTCCATATATGCAATCATATGACCTAGTTAAGGAGTTCTTGACTCATCAAGCTAATCTCTTTATCTTCCATGAGAAAAGCAGCTTTCCCCATCATGTGTTCAACATAAGGTTTTGGGAGAAAACTGACCTGATTGTTTATCACCTGGAACATGTAATTAAGTGTGAAATGGGGGGGCGGTTTAGACTAAAAGATTGTTAGTGTGTGATCATGTAAACACTGTGTGATATGATGTCATGTAATGTACCTTATCTGTGTCATGATTTTGAATAAATGGGTGCTCGGAGAGTTGTGGGACAGAGTAGGCTAGAGCGTAGCCAGGTGAAGTTTAAGATCTGTATTGTTTCTCTGAAGAATCTTGAGTGGATCTTCTTGTGTTACACCATGGACTTTGACTAAGAGAATTAATGAATAATGGACCTGGAGTTTGTCCATACAAATGAGCTCATTGTGCTTCATGATTTCATAAACTTGGAAACTAAAATACTAAATATATACTTAAACCTTTTTACATTGTGAAAACTGTTTGTGTGATGTAAGTTTTATATTTCTGTCAGAACTGAAGAATCCACTTGACAGAATTCAATTTTCTTTTGCTCAGGACCTGAACCAATGACGGATTTCAGAGATTTTAATGAAATATTGAAAATCCAATATCAATTCTCTAAACGTGATATATTTGATACAAGGCAAACAGGTCCGGGGGGACGGGTCAGACGAAGAACGGTTCAGAAGCCCCACATGATGAGCAACACACAGAGGCCAGTTAAGTCGCCCGGATTGGCGTCACCGGGGCCTCACCCTGGAGCCAGGCCTGGGGTGGGTGCTCGTCAGCGAGCGCCTGGTGGCCGGGCCTTCCCCCACGGGGCCCGGCCGGGCTTAGCCCGAAGGAGCGACGTGGGGCCGTCCTCACGTGGGCCCACCACCTGCGGGAGGAGCCATATGGGGCCGGTGCAAAGAGATCTGGGCGGCAGTCGACGGCGGGGGCCTCGACGACCGGATCTCCGGACATGGAGACTAGCTCTGGGAACATGGAATGTCACCTCGCTTGTGGGGGAAGGAGCCTGAGCTTGTGCAGGAGGTTGAGCGTTACCGACTAGATATAGTCGGCCTCACCTCCACGCACAGTTTGGGCTCTGGAACCCAACTCCTTGAGAGGGGCTGGACTCTCCATTTCTCTGGCGTTGGCCGTGGGGAGCGGCGGCGGGCTGGTGTGGGCCTGCTCATTGCCCCACAGCTCAGCCGTTGTGTGTTGGGAGTTCACCCCGGTGAACGAGAGGGTCGCATCCCTGCGCCTTCGGGTCGGGGACAGGTCTCTCACTGTGGTGTCGGCCTACGGGCCGAACAGCAGTGCTGAGTACCCGGCCCTCTTGGAATCCTTGGGAGGGGTACTGGACAGTGCACTGACCGGGGACTCCGTTGTTCTCCTGGGGGACTTCAACGCCCACGTGGGCAATGACAGTGACACTTGGAGAGGGGTGATTGGGAGGAACGGCCTCCCCGATCTGAACCCGAGCGGTGTTTTGTTATTGGACTTCTGTGCTAGTCACAGTTTGTCCATAACAAACACCATGTTCGAGCACAAGGGTGTCCATAAGTGCACGTGGCACCAGGACACCCTAGGCCGGAGGTCGATGATCGACTTTGTAGTTGTGTCATCTGATCTCCGGCCGCGTGTCTTGGACACTCGGGTGAAGAGAGGGGCTGAGCTGTCAACTGATCACCACCTGGTTGTGAGTTGGGTTCGCTGGCGGAGGAGGAAGCCGGAAAGACCTGGCAGGCCCAAGCGTGTAGTGAGGGTCTGTTGGAGCCCTCTCTCAGAGGGACTTTCAACTCGCACCTCCGGGAGGACTTCTCCCGGATTCCGGGGGAAGCTGGAGATATGGAGTCCGAGTGGGCTTCATTCTCGGCCTCTATTGTCAATGCGGCTGCTCGGAGCTGTGGGCGTAAGGTCTGTGGTGCCTGTCGCGGCGGCAATCCCTGAACCCGGTGGTGGACACCGGAAGTAAGGGATGCCGTCAAGCTGAAGAAGGAGTCCTATCGGGCCTTGCTGGCTCGGGGGACTCCTGAGGCAGCTGACGGGTACCGGCGGGCCAAGCGTGCTGCAGCCCGTGTGGTCGCGGAGGCAAAAACTCGGACCTGGGAGGAGTTCGGGGAGGCCATGGAGAAGGACTATCGGACGGCCTCAAAGAAATTCTGGCAAACCGTCCGGCGCCTCAGGAGGGGGAAGAAGTTCTTCGCCAACACTGTTTACAGTGCGGGGGGAGAGCTGCTGACCTCGACTGGGGACGTTGTCCGGAGGTGGAAGGAATACTTTGAGGATCTCCTCAATCCCACCGTCACGTCTTCCGAGGAGGAGGCCGAGGCTGGGGACTCAGAGGTGGACTCATCCATCACCCTGGCCGAAGTCACTGAGGTGGTTGGAAAGCTCCTTGGTGGCAAGGCTCCGGGGTTGGATGAGATCCGTCCTGAGTACCTTAAGTCTCTGGATGTTGTGGGGCTGTCTTGGCTGACACACCTCTTCAACATCGTGTGGCGGTCGGGGACAAACCGGGGTGGTGGTCCCTCTGTATAAGAAGGGGGACCGGAGGGTGTGTTCCAACTATAGGGGGATCACACTCCTCAGCCTTCCCGGTAAGGTCTATGCCAGGGTACTGGAGAGGAGAATCCGGCCGATAGTCGAACCTCGGATCCAGGAAGAGCAGTGTGGTTTTCGTCCTGGCCGTGGAACACTGGACCAGCTCTACACTCTCCATCAGGCGCTCGAGGTTCATGGGAGTTTGCCCAACCAGTCCACATGTGTTTTGTGGATCTGGAGAAGGCATTCGACCGTGTCCCTCGTGGTGTCCTGTGGGGGGTGCTCTGGGAGTATGGGGTCCGGGGCCCTTTGCTAAGGGCTGTCCGGTCCCTGTATGACCGGAGCAGGAGCTGTGTTCACATTGCCGGCAGTAAGTCAGACCTGTTCCCGGTGCATGTTGGACTCCGCCAGGGCTGCCCTTTGTCACCGGTTCTGTTCATTGTATTTATGGACAGAATTTCTAGGCGCAGTCAGGGGCCGGAGGGGGTCCGGTTTGGGGACCACAGGATCTCATCTCTGCTGTTTGCGGATGATGTTGTCCTGTTGGCTTCATCGAACCAGGACCTGCAATGTGCACTGGGGCGGTTTGCAGCCGAGTGTGAAGCGGCTGGGATGAAGATCAGGTCTTCTAAGTCTGAGGCCATGGTTCTCGACCGGAAAAAGGTGGCTTGCCCTCTCCGGGTGGGTGGGGAGTCTTTGCCTCAAGTGGAGGAGTTCAAGTATCTCGGGGTCTTGTTCACGAGTGAGGGAAGGACGGAGCGTGAGATTGACAGGCGGATCGGTGCAGCTTCGGCAGTGATGCGGTCGCTGAATTGGACCGTTGTGGTGAAGCGGGAGCTGAGCCGAAAGGCGAAGCTCTCGATTTACCGGTCAGTCTTCGTTCCTACTCTCACCTATGGTCATGAGCTCTGGGTAATGACCGAAAGGATGAGATCGCGGATACAAGCGCTTGAAATGAGTTTCCTCCGCAGGGTGGCTGGGCGCTCCCTTAGAGATAGGGTGAGGAGCTCAGTCACACGGGAGGAGCTCGGAGTAGAGCCGCTGCTCCTCCACGTCGAGAGGAGCCAGTTGAGGTGGCTCGGGCATCTGTTCCGGATGCCTCCTGGGCGCCTCCCTCGGGAGGTGTTCCGGGCATGTCCCACCGGGAGGAGGCCCCGGGGAAGACCCAGGACATGCTGGAGGGACTATGTCTCTCTGCTGGCCTGGGAACGCCTCGGGATTCCCCCGGAGGAGCTGGAGGACGTGTCTGGGGTTAGGGAAGTCTGGGAGTCCCTGCTTAGACTGCTGCCCCCGCGACCCGGCCCCGGATAAGCGGACGAAAATGGATGGATGGATGGATGGATATTTGATATATTTATTTAATCTACCACTAGGAGGAGCCACTGTCCTACACTAAAGTCCATGCTGCAAATCAACTTTGATTTGCTATTAAACTTTTAGTTGTGTTTTCGGTGTTTTAAAAACATTGTCTACTGTTCTAATCCCATTTGGTAATTTTAGTGCAAACTAGACAAATGTACAGCTTTGTGTTCAAACATGTTTAAAAGTGGGTGTATCCTGGCTCCTATTTCAGGTAGTTGGTGATATCTGCCGTGGAAATTATCTGTAAAATAATACTAAAACATACAAGAAGACTGTCTAGGTTGGTTTATACGTTTGCACCAGTAACAAACAGAGCAGACAGAGTTTCTGCTGCAGTGCAGCTGAGTTAGGTGTTAGGTGTTAGGTGTTTGGTGTTAGGTGTTTGGTGTGAGGTGTTAGGTGTTAGGTGTTTAGGTGTTTGGTGTTAGGTGTTAGGTGTTTGGTGTTTGGTGTTAGGTGTTTAGGTGTGTTAGGTGTTTGGTGTTTGTGTGAGGTGTTAGGGTGTTTGGTGTAGGTGTTAGGTGTTTGTGTGGGTGTTTGGTGTTTGTGTTGGTGTTAGGTGTTTGGTGTTTGGTGTTAGGTGTTAGGTGTTTGTGTTGGTGTGTGTTAGTGTTGGTGTTTGGTGTTAGGTGTTTGGTGTTTGGTGTTAGGTGTTAGGTGTTTGGTGTTTGGTGTTAGGTGTTAGGTGTTTGGTGTTAGGTGTTAGGTGTTTAGGTGTTAGGTGTTGGTGTTAGGTGTTAGGTGTGTTTGGTGTGTGAGGTGTAGGTGTTTAGGTGTTGGTTTGTGTTTGGTGTTTGTGTTAGGTGTTTAGGTGTTTGGTGTTTGGTGTGTGAGGTGTGAGGTGTTAGGTGTTTGGTGTTAGGTGTTAGGTGTTAGGTGTTTGGTGTGTAGGTGTTGTGAGGTGTTAGGTGTTAGGTGTTAGGTGTTTGGTGTTGTTGGTGTTAGGTGTTAGGTGTTAGGTGTTTGGTGTGAGGTGTGAGGTGTTAGGTGTTTGGTGTTAGGTGTGTTAGGTGTTAGTGTTTGTGTTGGTGTTGGTGTTAGGTGTTAGGTGTTAGGTGTTTGGTGTGAGGTGTTAGGTGTTAGGTGTTTGGTGTTAGGTGTTAGGTGTTTGGTGTTTGGTGTTTGGTGTTAGGTGTTTGGTGTTAGGTGTTTGGTGTTTGGTGTTTGGTGTTAGGTGTTAGGTGTTTGGTGTGAGGTGTGAGGTGTTAGGTGTTTGGTGTTTGGGTGTTTGGTGTTAGGTGTTAGGTGTTAGGTGTTTGGTGTTAGGTGTTAGGTGTTAGTGTTTGGTGTTTGGTGTTAGGTGTTTGGTGTTAGGTGTTAGGTGTTTGGTGTTTGGTGTGTGGTGTTTGGTGAGGTGTTTGGTGTTTGGTGTTTGGTGTTAGGTGTTAGGTGTTTGGTGTTAGGTGTTAGGTGTTTGGTGTGAGGTGTTAGGTGTTAGGTGTTTGGTGTTAGGTGTTTAGGTGTTTGGTGTTAGGTGTTAGGTGTTTGGTGTTTGAGGTGTTTGGTTGTTTAGGTGTTTGGTGTTAGGTGTTTGGTGTTAGGTGTTTGGTGTTTGGTGTTTGGTGTTAGGTGTGTTAGGTGTTTGAGGTGTTTGGTGTTTGGTGTTAGGTGTTAGGTGTTTGGTGTTAGGTGTTAGGTGTTTGGTGTTAGGTGTTAGGTGTTAGGTGTTTGGTGTTAGGTGTTAGGTGTGGTGTTTGGTGTGTGTTAGGTGTTTGGTGTTAGGTGTTTGGTGTTTGGTGTTAGGTGTTTGGTGTTAGGTGTTTGGTGTTAGGTGTTTGGTGTTTGGTGTTAGGTGTTAGGTGTTAGGTGTTTGGTGTTAGGTGTTAGGTGTTAGGTGTTTGGTGTTAGGTGTTTGGTGTTTGGTGTTAGGTGTTTAGGTGTTTGGTGTTTGGTGTTTGGTGTTTGGTGTTAGGTGTTAGGTGTTAGGTGTTTGGTGTGTTTGGTGTTAGGTGTTTGGTGTTTGGTGTTAGGTGTTAGGTGTGGTGTTAGGTGTTAGGTGTTTGGTGTTTGGTGTTAGGTGTTAGGTGTTTGGTGTTTGGTGTTTAGGTGTTAGGTGTTGTTAGGTGTTTGGTGTTTGGGTGTGTTGGTGTGGTGTTAGGTGTTAGTGTTTGGTGTTAGGTGTTAGGTGTTAGGTGTTAGGTGTTTGGTGTTAGGTGTTAGGTGTTTGGTGTGGTGTTTGGGTGTTTGGTGTTAGGTGTTTGGTGTTTGGTGTTTGGTGTTTGGTGTTAGGTGTTAGGTGTTTGGTGTTTGGTGTTTGGTGTTAGGTGTTTGGTGTTAGGTGTTTGGTGTTAGGTGTTTGGTGTTAGGTGTTTAGGTGTTTAGGTGTTAGGTGTTTGGTGTTAGGTGTTAGGTGTGTTTGGTGTTAGGTGTTTGGTGTGTTTGGTGTTAGGTGTTTGGTGTTAGGTGTTTGGTGTGTTAGGTGTTAGGTGTTTGGTGTTAGGTGTTAGGTGTTTGGTGTTTGGTGTTAGGTGTTTGGTGTTAGGTGTTTGGTGTGAGGTGTTTGGTGTTAGGTGTTAGGTGTTAGGTGTTTGGTGTGAGGTGTTAGGTGTTAGGTGTGTGTTTGGTGTTTGGTGTTAGGTGTTAGGTGTTAGGTGTTAGGTGTTAGGTGTTTGGTGTTTAGGTGTTTGGGTGTTTGGTGTTTAGGTGTTAGGTGTTTGGTTGTTTGTTGGTGTTAGGTGTTTGGTGTTTGGTGTTTGGTGTTTGGTGTTTGGTGTTTGGTGTTAGGTGTTAGGTGTTTAGGTGTTTGGTGTTAGGTGTTAGGTGTTAGGTGTTTGGTGTGTGTTAGGTGTTTGGTGTTTAGGTGTTTGGTGTTTGGTGTTAGGTGTTTGGTGTTTGGTGTTTGGTGTTAGGTGTTAGGTGTTAGGTGTTTGGTGTTAGGTGTTAGTGTGTTTGGTGTTTGGTGTTTGGTGTGAGGTGTTTGGTGTTTGGTGTTAGGTGTGTGTTAGGTGTTTGGTGTTTGGTGTTTGGTGTTAGGTGTTAGGTGTGTTTAGGTGTTAGGTGTTAGGTGTTAGGTGTTAGGTGTTAGGTGTTAGGTGTTAGGTGTTAGGTGTTTGGTGTTAGGTGTTAGGTGTTTGGTGTTTGGTGTTTGGTGTTAGGTGTGAGGTGTTTGGTGTTTGGTGTTTGGTGTGAGGTGTTGAGGTGTTTGGTGTTGGTGTTGTTAGGTGTGTTTTGGTGTAGGTGTTTGGTGTGAGGTGTTAGGTGTTTTGGTGTTTTGGTGTTAGGTGTTAGGTGTTAGGTGTTGGTGTTAGGTTTAGGTGTTTTGGTGTTAGGTGTTAGGTGTTAGGTGTTAGGTGTTAGGTGTTTGGTGTTAGGTGTTAGGTGTTTGGTGTTTGGTGTTTGGTGTTGGTGTTGTTGTGTTTAGGTGTTTAGGTGTTTGGTGTTTGGTGTTAGGTGTTAGGTGTTTGTTGGTGTTTGGTGTTGTGTTAGGTGTTAGGTGTGGTGTTAGGTGTTTGGTGTTAGGTGTTAGGTGTTAGGTGTTTGGTGTTTGGTGTTTGGTGTTTGGTGTTAGGTGTTTGGTGTTGGTGTTAGGTGTTTGGTGTTTGGTGTTTGGTGTTAGGTGTTTAGGTGTTAGGTGTTTGGTGTGTTAGGTGTTAGGTGTTAGGTGTTAGGTGTTAGGTCAGGTATCTTACAGTGAAGGCCTGTCCTCTCTGGAAGGGCATGGCTCCGCCCCTCTCCTCGCTGCCCCACCTCTCTCTCTCCTTGGTGTTTCTCACCACCGTGTTCTCGCTGAAGCGTGGGTTATAGTGCAGTGCGACGCCTGACGGGTGACTCAGATTCACATGGAACCTATGAAGAAAGACACAGAGGTCAATCAAAATGACAAAGAAAGATGGATGGATGGCAAAAAGGAAAAAGTGTTGCGCAATTAGATCTGCAACCAGTTGTCAGAAGCAGCTTACCTGTACCTGATTTTTACTTTCATAAATAAGTGAAAAACAGAACTAAGTCATTTTAAACACTTCACTGTGGTCCAAAGTTATTCCACATATTCTAATTACCGTATATTTCGGACTATAAGCCACGCTTTTTTTCATGGTTTGGGTGTTTCCTGCAACTTATACTCTGGTGTGACTTATATATTAAAGTTTTCAGACTGACAGCTGTGAGAGGCTCTAGTCTTGTGTGTCAATATTTGTTCCTCCTGTACCACTGTCACTTCACTCTACTACGCATGCCTCCTGTAGAAAAAGCTATTTTTCTGCTGCAAATAGTGAATTATGCAGACAAAAATGGTAATCGAACAGCAGAGAGAAAGTTTGGAGTGAGCGAGAAACTTGTGAGGGAAAGTAGGAACGGAGAACACAGCTGCACGGCAACCAGGAGGGTGCACTGTGAATCGACAAAGCCTCAACTTCAGTGACACCGAAACCATCCTAACTGGAACTGACGCTGAATCTGACGACAGCGACACAGAAGAGGAAGCGGAGCTCCTTTTACCTCACAGATCTATGGTTTATCTCCGGAGGTTGAGCAGAAATGACACAGAGGATGAAGAATTCAATGGATTTGGATTTGGAGTGAGAGTTTGGTAAACTTATGTTCTGTTGTTTATGCTATAAATATCTGAAGAACTGTTCATGTTACGTTAACATTTAACGCCTGTTCAGCCTGTTGTTCTCTGTTCTGTTATTATTACTAGAAATTGACTTTCAAAATGAAATGTCGTTTCCTGGTCTCTGATTTTATAAAATAAATTTCCCCAAAAAGTGCGACTTATATATGTTTTTTTTCTTCTTCATTGTGCATTTTTTTAACTGGTGCCACTTATACTCCAGAGCGACTTATAGTCCGAAAAATACGGTATTCACTGTGAGTTTTTACGCCTCTCAGAGACCAGAGCTTTTGCCGTAAGTTTTAACATGACAGTACAGTTAACAAAAACTAGTATTCAAGCGTGCACTTCCTGATTATCAGAGAATAAAACGCTTTATAATTAGATGCAGACAGCACTCAGCAGACTTATTTTGACCTCAAGAGCTGTTCATACAAGAGATCTGTCCTGAAACAAGATACATTTTGCTCTAATACAAAAGGGACACTGCAATAACACAAAAGTTTTGGAACACCCTCATTTTTTCAGTTATTTGTTGCAGTTCACATCATGCAAGTCCAATGAAGAGCTTGAAATGGTACAAAAGTAAAAACTGACCAGACAGAGGTGAAAAAAAAGATAAAAGATACAAAACTCAAGTCCAAACTCTGCCAAAACCGAACAAAAACAGAACAGAACAAGATGGTAAAGCTTGAAAACCTGGAGTGTCCAGCAGCAGCACAGTGTCCAGACTTAAACCCATGGAGCTGGTTTGGGATGAACTGGACAGAAGAGTGAAGCAACCTACAAGTGCCACACATTTATGGAAACTTCAGCAACAGACTTGGGAAGAACTTTCTGAACAATATTTGATTTCTGTTGTAAAAAGAACGAGCCACGAGTGTGTTCAGCTGTTCTATCTGCCAAAGGTGGACACACATCAATAGGAAACAGTATTAGTGTTTCAGTATTAGTGAAAAAAGTGAGCACAATTTTTACATCTGTGTAATTAAATACACAAACTGTGAAACAAATATGACATGAACGACGAGAGAGTAACAACGAGAGGAGGGTGAGACTGAGAAAACAACAAACAACAAAAAGTGAAGAAAAATTGGAGGGATGACAGAGAAGAAGAGAAAGAGAAAGGAAGAGAGAGAGATCTGGAAGTTGTAGTCAGATCATTTACTGGAAATTCCTCCTCTTGGGTATTGAGACAGTGTTTTTTGGTCTCATGATTTGGTAAAAACAATGGAACAACAATGTCAGAGTCGGAAGTCATGAGTCTGTTACAAATACTGTTTCATTTTCACTGTACTGCAGACTGTCATTTACACTAAAACACATCATAAACTAAATGAAATCTTGCATTTTGGATCTCAAGAAAAATAAATAAAATGTATCACAGTATCATGTTTAATAGTGCAGCAATACAGGTGCACTGTGTGACTTATGCTGCTTGTCTCCATGGAGATGAGGACCCCTTGAAAACGAGATGGGGCTTATCCTCCAAACAAATAAACAAATAAATTCAAATGTTCCACGGTACAGTGGTCCCTCATTTATCATGGGGGTTATGTTCTAAAAATAACCTGCAATAGATGAAATCCGCGAAGTTGTCAACTTTATATTTTACAATTATTATATCTGTTTTAAGTCTGTAAAACCCCTCACCACAAACTTTATACACTTCTCTCACACAGGACAGTCACAATCCTTTTTACATCCTTCTTAAAACTTATTTCTGCTGTCGTCCTTTTGTTATTTTCATTCTTTATGTAATGAACCGATGATTCATTTATTGTGTAATGGAGCCCTACAGCGCAGAGTCCTGCACTGGTGCAGTACAACACTGCACCAGCCTGTTAACCTGAGATTGTATCAAACTTTTGCACTGCATACGCCACGGACTGAACCAAGATTAAACCAGGACTAACCCAGGACTAACCTGGGACTGATTCCAGGACTGAAGAGGAGGACTAAACCAGGACTGAAATAAGACTAAAACAGGACTAAACCAGAACTAAACTAGAACTAAAACAGGACTCACTGTCGGGACGGGCTCGAAGGTGACTGCAGGAGAAAGGAGCGGCTCTGCTCTGCACCTCAAGTAAGAGCGGCTGTCTCCCGATTGCGCTTTACGGACACCCTGCTGCTCGTGCTCGCGATCCTGATTTTAGCAACTATTTGCGGGTACCTGACCCGGTGTAAGACTCTGCTACAGCGCGTAACTTCTACCTTCCTTCAGCGTGTCCAGAAGTCCAACTTTTTGTGCGATGGTTTGCATCTTCCTCTGCCTTTTGGGTGCGAGCACAGGAGCCTTTGTCAGTGAAGAACGTTTGGTCGACATTGTGGGTTTTGTCGGGGAGAAAACTTGTATAACATACAGCACTTCAGGATCACACTGATACAGATCCAACATTTATGTACATTTGGCAACTGAACACATTCTGTACTGTACAGGAGACAGGGTCCCTTATCCAATCAGGACGCAGCGGGAGGAACACAATGCACGTTCATACACTGTAAAAAAAAAAGGCATGCAAAATTGCACACAAAAAAATCCCCCGAAACAGCAAGACTGTGAAAAGTGAACCACGATATAGCGAGGAACAACTGTGTTACATTAAACTTATCCATCTTGCATTTATTAAATACAGATGTTTTTGTTGTTCAAAATAATAATTATAATAATTTGTACCTTTAATAAAACCTATAATAAAACCTGGAAAAAATCTGCCTGGTTACTGTAGGTGGACATGTCTCTCCACAGATCTGACCGTGGAGAGACAGTAACATGGCCTTGTCTCCATAAAAATAAGTTTTATGCTGTAGTTTGGAACTGTCCAGACAAACGCAATATATCCATAGATACAAGCACCACCAGAAAAGTTACATACTGCAACTTTTTAGGCATCTATTAATTAGGGCTGAGAGTAATTGTAATAGACTTTTAACTCTCTAAATGGTCACAAAGTCTGCAATTATTTATTATTATTAGGTACTATTGATACTTTGCAGTACATCACACAGGGGGTGTAATGTTCTGCAGTTACCATGGTGACATGATGTACACACGAGCAAACACAGTCAAAAAAGTGTTTTGATAGTCTGAAAACTCAAGAATAAACACAAAATGGATTTAAAGAGCACATTTTCAGCCTGTGATCAATCCGAGCGTTCATGGTCCTGTTTAGGAGTTTGATCTTCAACAAAAAGGATGAGGGTGACTCAAAATATAAAATGTATAACTCATATTAAGTTTACGTAGAGTAACACAGCTTCTAACAGAGTAGTGCTTTCACTTAACCTCACAGCCCTAGAGAACGCTGGAGTCATACCTGCTCGCACTTGGAGACACAGTCCCCTGGATGGTGATAGTCCGACCAGGCGTGAGTCCTCCACTGATCATACTGCGGTACGGGACGGCCTGTACAGAAACACAGACCCATTTTTAGTACTGGAATATGACAAAAAATACACCACAAATGTATAAGCCCCACACGTAACTGCTCCTCACGACTTGTTTTATGTAAAACCACGCTGCCCTACAAAGGCAGAACACTGTAACATGATGTTTGGTCAAAGATGAGCTCATGTCATTTTGTTTGTATTTGAGAGCTTCTTTATCATGTCAATAAATACCGTGAAAAATACTGAGCTCAAACTCAAACGCTTCAGTATGCTGCAAAGGCAAAAGATCTTAACTCTCCAGAGTGTGAAACTGAGAAAAATGACTTCAAAGTTTCTGTTTTTTCCAGACAAAAGTAGAATAGGTCAGGGCTCTCAAAATTGGAAACTAGCTGCTATAATGAAGAAATATATGTATGTGAAAAATATTGCATTCAAAATTGACCTTTGACCCTTATTTGTCAGTTCCTGTTCTCTGCCTTTGAATCATGAGCCAAAAATAAGTTTTTGTGCAAAGACAAAAAGCAGAAACAGTGTTCGTTTTGTTTGTGATTTAGTTCATAAATGTATTTTATTTTCAAATCCAACCTTTCGTTTTCTTCTTTTTGACACAGAGTCTGAACACATTCAATAAATAAACCTTCAATTATACTTCAATAATCTTTAATGTAAAAGTATTGTGTGTATTTATTCATACTGTACACACTCTACTAAACTTGTGTCAAACTGTTTAGTCCTGGTTTAGCCCAAAATGTGAAAACAGGAAAATACCGCTGTCTAATCCATTTATTTCAACAAAGTAACTGTAATCCAATTACCACTCACTGAAACAGTAACTGTAACTGAGAATAGTTACTCATAATTTGTACTCTGATTACATAATGCCGGTACATATAATCTGTTACTCCCCAACACTGGTAATGTTAAATCTTTTCTTATTCAAATAAATGTTTCATAATAGTTTGCTTAAATACTGAATCCAGAACAAGCATCATATAAAATAATAACAAATTAAATAATGTAAATTAAAAAAAATAAATACAACGTGGGGTGACCATTTTGGATTGGAGATTATAAATCTCCTCCCAGACATCACATCTGCCCTCCGTCAACAAACATCTTTTTTAATATTCCATTACTGTGGCCTGGGTCTTGCTAGTGAATATTATTATTGCACATTTCTTGGAGCCAGATCACTATTTAGATTTCCACAATTCATTTACACGTACAAATACTACTACACAGTGTTGTTCTATTGCCTTTAAAAATGGAGTATTGCTCTTCTTTGAGGTATTAACTGCTAACACATAAGGGTCCGGTCAAGCAGAAGTAAACAACAAGGCCAAAAATTCAAGTTAATGCATCTGATATAAAAATGTATTGAACAGATACATATGTACTCTAGTTTATGAAACTGTTGACCTTTTTTCTGTACCATTTTTGGTTCTAAAGTTCCATATGTTTTAAACAGACCATGTATGAAACATGGAACAAAAATTATTTCCCAAATTTCAAAGACCTGAAAATCATGTAAATAAACTGATGTATTTCATCATATCTTGTGTTATTCCATCTTTGAACTGTTGAGGAATGTACATGATTAAAAAAAAAAAAGTATTTAAAATGATAAAAATTTGCTTGGAAGGACTGACATATTTTATAGAAATAGTTTCCTTTCATTTTGAAGTAATATTAAAGTATTCAGAAGAAAAAAACTGACAAATGATGTAAAATCCTGCACCTTCTACTTGTTTGCACAATTTTCCCTCCGTTACTTTTCCCTCCGTTACCATGACCTTTCTTAATAAAAAATCTCATGAGTCAAAAAGTAAGAGGTTTTTCAACCTAATCTTGTACCATATGGTAGAAAACTATATGAAGCAAATATTCAAACCAGTTTGTTAAGGATATGGAAGTGAGAACCAAGAGTTATCACTGTTTGGATTTATTGCCCAAAAAGTGCTGCATATTTCATTCCCTCCGTTACCAACATGAGTTTTTAAATTTTTTTGTCAACAACTTGACAGAATATCACAGGTTTAACTTGACCCTGTTGGAGTGTAACTCTTTCCTACATTCTGATACTTTACTTATTTCAATAGTCCCTCTAGTTTCTGAATAAGAGACATTTGAATGTCAAAAATCTGCCCCTGTTTCCCTCCATTACCACTTGACTGGACCCATATTTGAATCACCATATCATTTTGCAAACGCTCTCTTCACCGAAAACATGTTTCAGTTTTGTTTTTCACACTCTGAAAATGCACTAAGGCTGAACATAGGACAAGCTCATACTGATAACTGCAAATAGAGCCTGGGAGAGATCACTAGATTACTCAAACATGCATGGATGACATCTAAAACCTCTTCAGGCATGTTTTTGATGTTGATGATGTTTTTGAGAGATTTTAGTATTATATTGTACCATCTGATCACCCTCCCTCCTCTGGACCAGACATTCTAAGCAGTGGGTTCGTTTTACTCACAGGCACAGCAGAAGGAAAACCAGGAGAGGGAAAACCAGGCTGCGGAGGGAAGGCCGGACCGGTGGGGAACGCTCCGAACGACGAAGGAGACACCTGAGGAATAAAGAACCCAGGCTGAGCGGGGAACCCAGGCTGAGCGGGGAACCCAGGCTGAGAGACAGACAGAGAGAAGACAGTCATTATGGGCTTATACTGTTACACTGTAAACGTGATTTTACTACAGTTTGATTATGTATAGCTATTTTTGGAAGAAATATCCAAACTTATGATCTCTCAGTGGTTTAAACCAGCACCATCAGCTGAAAATGGCTTCTGGATGGAAACCGAAATCACAAAAAACATCACAAAAACCAGAGTGTCCAGTTGACGTGATGACTACATTGGTGTTTGAAACTTACCGCGGCGCTCAGGAAGGAGATGGAGGAGACTTCCACTCGTCCGTCCACTTTGATGGTGTCAACTTGTTGAAATGGGATTCTGTGTTTGTACTCCAGGAAGTGCTGACTGTTTAGGGCCACCTGGACATGACAGAGAGTAGAGGTACTATATCATTCTTTTTTATATATGTTTCTCTGCTTTCATTTTCTAATGCATAAAACAAGAATGTATATTTTTAGTGCAGTAACATGAGTGTGTCTGTGATGTTACCTGGTATGCGTGCGGGCGGACGGTGATGGTGATATTGAACCCCGCGCCTTGTGGGAGGAGGGAGCTCTGCTGGCGCTCTTCTGGCCCCCAGCTGCCGTGTTGGAAAGTGTTACAGACCACAGTCATGGGGTGGGAGTCGTATCGAGGGTTAAAATGAAACGCCACGTCTGCGTTCTGCCTAGAGCCACACTGCAGATTTATATTAAACCTGCAAAAATAAATATAATATATATATATATATATATATATATATATATATATATATATATATATATATATATATATATATATATATATATATATACAAGAATTCACATTAAAAAAGCTTTACCTTACATTTATTTTTGTACTATTGTTGTGTTGTAAAATAAAAAAAGAATCATGTCATCACCAAAAGAATGAATGAATGTTTTCAAAATGTCGTTGTCCTCAAGCCACATTGTTAAATCACCAAGTACATTTTGATTTAAGCCACAGTATGTAACTTTTTTGCCAAAAAATACAAATAAAAGCTTGTTTTATTTTTATTTGGTTGCATTTATTGCACCTCCATATGCTCTAATGTGCTATAATCTTGTACAGCAGACATGTCAGACTCATGATATAATTATATTTGGCCCTCAAGATCACATCAAATATGTATTAGAGCTGCTCACCAACAAGCTATTCTGCTTGTTCTGGATTCAGTGTTTAAGCAAAAATATTATTATTAAACATTTATATGAATAAGAAAAGGTTTAACATTACATATCTCGAATGAAGAAAAAACATGCAGATGTTGAAATTTTTCAATAAATATTTAATATATGGCCTAAAACTTAGTCCCAGTTTTTAATTTTGGCCTTTGTGAATCTGAGTTTGACATCCCTGGTCTACAGTATGGCATAAAACACACAAAGTGGCTTTAACTTTAACTTTTAACTCTATTTCTGTACTGTACCTTTAATATACATACGCCCTTTGTTATCAGATTATTCACTGATTCACTAGCTAGGACCACGCCAACGACAACATAGTGCGAAGTAGTTTATTGATAATGTACAAAGCGAGGCAAAGATGGCTGGGTTGAGACTATGGGTGGGGGCTCCGTCTCAATCTACAATTGGCCCAGCCGGAACGGGACCCCCCTTGTAGGGGTCTTATGACTGAAAGACAAAATAGGGGATGGGAGGGTGGGGTCGAGTTCGCCGAGACAAACTGGGATGATGGGAAAGGCTGCTACATATAGGCTTCTGGGAAATTAGAGGCGTGGTCGAGGTGAGTTGTGGTTCGCCGGTGAGAGGAGAGGGCGGCTGAGGCCTGGTCCTGCTCCTGAATCTCAGTTAATCGTATTAACTACATTTAATAGAACATCATTTTGAATTTCTCCATTTTCACAGTTTCCCACAGCCTGTCTCACCTGTCAGCTCCTGGCAGCACCCTGCCGCTCACAGTGATGGACTTGCCGTCCTGCAGACCTCCGTGGATGGAGCCCATGAACGGGATCCTCTGGAAAAGACCAGTTACAAATGAACCTGAGTTAGTGATCATGAAATGACTTTTTATGAACAAATGATTCATTCTGTACTGTGATGTTATGAGGAGGCTCATGTTACAGAATGACAAATGTTCTGCACTGCGACGCTGCATGACTGCGACGCTGCATGACTGCGACGCTGCATGACTGCGACGCTGCATGACTGCGACGCTGCATGACTGCGACGCTGCATGACTGCGACGCTGCATGACTGCGACGCTGCATGACTCAGACTCATCAGCGTAAAAGTCCCATGTGACCAACTGTTTAGAAACAACGATTTTAAAGAATTCCACTTTAGTTTTCCGAGATCTCCACATGCTGCCTGCAGAAAAACTGGTTTAAAGTCTTAAGTTCAAGTTAATCTTTCAGTGAATCCGGGATCATTTATTAGGGAGTGTGCAGCTCTATCATGTTCAAACAGGATGTGTTACACAAGGATGTTGGCATAATCCTGCTCTGTCATTACTTATCTGGCCAACTGCAGAACAGAGCAGCTTTTAACACAATGGGCCTTTCCAACATCAGCGCTCACAGCCTAAAACATCTTGGAATAATCATCGTTCTTTTCTCAGTTTGCTGCATTTGCATGATTTTATCTGCAGCCATGTTGAGTGGAGGAGGGAGGGCTGAGGCTGGAGCAGCTCAGATGACGTGGATTTCTCTGAAGTGGATCAGAAGCCGAGATTCTGGCAACTGGGAAACAACCAGTATTTACAACAGAGTCTGACTGCAGACCTCAACTTAGAGGACCCTACACCCCAGACCTCCACGCAGAGGACCCCACGCCTACACCCCCACCCAGAGGACCCTACACCCACACCCCCACCCCACCAGAGGACCCTACACCCCAGACCTCCACGCAGAGGACCCCACGCCTACACCCCACCCAGAGGACCCTACCCCAGACCTCCACGCAGAGGACCCCACCCTACACCCCCACCCAGAGGACCTACACCCAGACCTCCACGCAGAGGACCCACGCCTACACCCCCACCTCACCCAGAGGACCCTACACCCCACCCCCACCCAGAGGACCCTACACCCCAGACCTCCACGCAGAGGACCCCACGCCTACACCCCCACCCAGAGGACCCTACACCCCAGGCCCCCACCCAGAGGATTCTACACCCCAGACCCCCACCCAGAGGACCCTACACCCCAGACCCCCACCCAGAGGACTCTACATCCCAGACCCCCACACAAAGGACCCTACACCCCAGACCCCCACACAAAGGACGCTACACCCAGACCCCCACCCAAAGGACGCTACACCCCAGACCCCCACCCAGAGGACTCTACATCCCAGACCCCACCCAGAGGACCCTACACTCCAGACCCCCACCCAAAGACCCTACCCGAGACCCCGCCCAGAGGACCCTACACTCCAGACCCCCACCCAAAGGACCCTACACCGAGACCCCGCCCCCAGAGGACCCCACACCCCCACCCAGAGGACCTCACGCCCAGACCCCCACCCAAAGGACCCTACACCCCAGACCCCACCCAGAGGACCCTACACTCCAGACCCCCACCCAAAGGACCCTACACTGAGACCCCCACCCAGAAGACCCTACACTCCAGACCCCCACCCAGAGGACCTCACGCCCACACACCCACCCAGAGGACCCTACACTCCAGACCCCACCCAAAGGACCCTACACTGAGACCCCCACCCAGAGACCCTACACTCCAGACCCCCACCAGAGGACCCTACTCCAGACCCCCACCCAGAGGACCCTACACCCCAAACCCAGAGGACCCTACCCCTGACCCCCACCCAAAGTGACCCCCACCCGAGTCCATTAAAGTGAATTGGGGTTTTTATCCTGAAATCTGTCAGTTTTCCAATGGCCCATATGTGTTCTATGGTTAACAGACTGAGAATTCTGTGTCGCTTTGGGAATGCGGAACATTATTTCTATTCGAGCAGGTGACCGCTGGAGACACAGAGATCATCACAATCAATTCAATTGTGGAGAGGCAATTTTTAAAATTTATATTGTATAGATGTATAGTTAGAAGTTATTTATTTGTATTAGTTATTTATTTTTATAAATAGCCTAATATAAGCCGAAATGCACACGCCCCGTAAGGTTATATTGTAGTATTCCTCATCATGTCGAATTCTTTGTGCCACATTTCACGACTATATGACCCTGTATGTGACTATAGCAGCACTTTAAACACACAGGTCATTTCACATAAGGAGGGTTTCACAAAAGGACTTTAGGTCCTGAGATTGGGGATTAGATTTTACAATTTACAAATAAAATTTTTAATGAGCTTTTAATAACATTTCCTAGCGAACTAAAGCAAAAGCTGATGAAAAGAAATGAATTTGCAATTAATTTTAAAGAATAAACTAATGGAAAAAAAAAAAAAGTGAGGGGCATGTAGGTGGAGGTGCGTCCTGGTGGAGGTCTGCGGCCAGACTCTCCTGAGTCAAGACAATATCATGCAAATGTTATCATTCTACAGTCGTTTCCGCTTATTTGTCCTCAAATGACTTTCATGTGCGCTGTCGTGGGGGAAAACTGGACACTTTTTGGACAAAATCTTGCATAACCATTTCAAAATACTGCGCAATAGCCTATTGCCTCAATGTAAAAAAAAAACAAAACAAAAAAAAAAAACACATTTCCAAAAACCAGTAATGTCCAGGCTATCCAGGTTTATTTTGCTCATAATATTGCACAGCTCAATTCAATGATTCAATTAAGTTAAAGAATAAACTTGCGTCTTTCCGTTATTTAAATCGCGTTGGGTCTTTCCGCTATTTCAAAGTCCTTTCCAAACAAAGGAGTGGTCTGCAGGAGGCAATCTAGGGTTCTTTTTACCACAACATTTTACAAACAATTTAAAATACCAACTCTAAATGAGAGCCGATTAAAAGAATAAAGCTAGATTTAATACAAAAAGTCGTAATTAAACCGCAAATCCTCTGCATGGCCTGGTCTCTTTGATTGAGTTGTTAAATGAATCGTTATTGTAAGCATGACTGGCTGGAGGTAAATAACGGGAGCAGTGGCGCACAGCTGGAGCACTCACCGGGCTGTAGAAGGGAGTTTGTTGGTTAAAAGCCATGCTCACGGTTTGACAGAAGACAGACGACACCTCTGGAACTCTGCAGCACACTATCAAGTTTACACTTTACTTCGCCTTTTATCACAGTTTAGTTTCGTTTTCTCCGTAAGTGGGCGGTGTTAAAGAAACAGGAAAAGAAAACCGCACTTAAACTCTGGAACCTTCAAAGGAGCAAAGACCTGAGCAGCAGCAGCAGCAGTAATATTAGTAGAAGTAGGCTATAGTAGTAGTAGTATTAGTAGTAATAGTAATAGTAGTAGAATTAGGCTATAGTAGTAGTAGTATTAGTAGTAATACTACTACTACTACTACTACTACTACTACTACTACTATAGCAGTATTAGTAGTAATAGTAATAGTAGTAGAAGTAGGCTATAGTAGTAACAGTTCATTATATGTATTACAAAGTCCAGTCATTATATTCCCTTTACATGCTTCAGTGTAGTAATAGTGATAGTAGTAGTAGCCAAGTAGTAGTAGTGGAAATATTTGAATTTGTATAGTAATATTGCAGTAGTAATAGTAGTAGTAGTAATAGTATTGCAATAGTGGCAGTAGTAGTAGTAGTAGTAGTAGTAGTGGTAGTAGTAGTAGTAGTAGTAGTAGTAGTATTGCAGTAGTAGTAATAGCAGTAGTAGTAGTAGTAGTAGTAGTAGTAGTAGTAGTAGTAGTAGTAGTAGTAATAGTAGTATTGCAGTAGTGGTAATGGTAGTAGTGGTAGTAGTAGTAGGAGTATTGCAGTAGTGGTAGTAAATGGTAAATGGTCACATTTTTCTATAGCACTTTTCCACCTTCAAGTCACTCAAAGCACTTTACAACAAGGAACCACTCACCCATTCACACACACATTCACACACCAGTGTACGCAGACACTGTGTAGTAGTAGTAGCAGTAGTAGTAGTAGTAGTTATATAGTAGTAGTAGTAGTAGTAGTAGTAGTAGTCTATTACAGGTGTCTAAACCTTTTTCATTTTTTCATCAAGGGCCACATATGTAAACACAGATGAAGCAGAGGGTTGATCGAGGGCTGCAGACTGGTGCTGAATACAGAGAATAATTGAAATCTGTACATGTTTAACATTAGAATGAACCATCAGACTTTATTCATGCCAAGATCCTTAAAACCCAAACACTAAATATGGAATATTAGCTTTATCAAGGTAGCTTTTCAGAAAAAAACTTGCAGTAAAAAGTTCATTTTTAATTGATGCAAGGTAATTTGGGCCAATTTACCTGGAAGCCTGAGGGCTAAGAAAAATTTGTCTGAGGGCCGCATTTGGCCCATGGGCCGTAGTTTGGACATGCCTGGTCTATTATATGTATTACAAAGTCCCAGAGGTGAGACCAAGTTGTTGTTTTGCAAGTCTCAAGTAAGTCTCAAGTCTTTGACCTCAAGTCCGAGTCAAGTCCCAAGCCAAAGGCAAACGGCTCCAGCTCAGAGCCAATCAGATTTACAGATCAGTTTGTCAGTCCGTCCAGTGTCATATCCATGGAAACAAGCAGATCCAAAAAGTTACACAGTGCACCTTTAAATGAGTCAAACAAATAAAAAACATAATAAAATGTAAAGCACACAAGAGCGCACGGCCTATTAAAAGAAGTCATAAAATCAAACACAACAGGACAATGACCACTGCATTACCACGGTCAAGGTTATAAAACATGAGATAAAAACAAATCAAGAGTGAGCCCACGCTTTGTTCTTTCATCATTCACTGTAAAACAGCAAACTCAGATTACGCAGACTCATGACACAGAGTGAAGCTTTCAGGACTTTATTCCTCAACATTTGGATGATTAAGTCTTACAAATAATGAACTTTTCAGAAGCCCGACATCTCTGTTTAAAATTGATCTTATTCAGTAAAAACACAGAGGAAGTAAAAGTATCTCAGTATCTGAGTCAACAACAGGTGATAAAGTAATGCTGGAATCATTAAAGGACTTTTATTCCTCAGACTTTTTTGACCATTTTTTACTTACATACATGACATACTAGTAGTAGTAACAGTAACACTAGTAGTAGTAGTAGTAGTAGTAGTAACAGTAACAGTAGTAGTAGTAGTAAACACTTTAAACACTTTTTACTTACATATACAACATACATACATATACATACATACTAGTAGTAGTAGTAACAGTAGTAGTAACAGTAACAGTAGTAGTAACAGTAACAGTAGTAGTAGTAGTAGTAACAGTAATAGTAGTAGTAGTAGTAAACACTTTAAACACTTTTTACTTACATATACAACATACATGCATACATATACATACATACTACGAACTTGGTCTTCTTCACTCTCTGCTGATCTTAAGTAATGAAGTATAGAAGGTACAGAATTTTGGGTTTTCATTATCTGTAAGACCAAAATCATGAAAATTCAAGAAACATTTCACAAAAAAATACAGATTTAAAAAAAAAAATCTAATTATTTGAGATGGACTCGTAAATTAATCGATCAGATGTAAAAAGTCTTTTGCCAGCAGTTTGCATGGACATGGACTTTTACTGTTGGGGGTTGGTCACCTGCTTGTTTCCATGGAGATGTCATTTCTCAGCCTGGAATGTTCCACAGTGTGACAATAAACAGCTCTACTTTACATTTATTCAATTACAGGTGAGTTTATAGCTCAAAAATCCCTTGAAAAACAAACATTCTGACTGTGAGCGGGGTCGCCTCTCCACAGATCTGACCTGTAACTCGGTCTGGTTTGGTCTCCATGGAGACAGGAAGGATTAAGGACATCTCCATGGAGAAAAGTTTTTGACAGACCCTCCACCAGAAAAGTTACACAATGCAGCTTTAAAATCTCCTACAATGTGTAACTTGTGCTACTTCACTGTGACAATGGCCATAAAGTAGTAGTAGTATTTGTAGCCTTGTAGTAGTAGCAGAAATAGTGGCAGTAGTTGTCATTTTATTCCCTTTATAAACTTGAATGTGGTAGTAGTAGCAGTAGCAGTAGCAGTAGTAGTAGTAGTAGTAGTAGTAGTAGTAGTAGTTGTAGTTGTAGTAGTAGTAGTAGTAGTTGTAGTTGTAGTAGTTGTTGTTGTACTAGTATTTATAGCAATAGCCTGGTAGTTTTTTAGTAGTCATGTAAAAATTCTAGTATTTCTAATACTACTACTAGGCTACTACTACTTTGCTACTACTACTACTACTACTACCATTACAATATTACTACTACATGACTGGACTTTGTAATACACATAATGGACTGTTTACTACTACAATACTGCAATACTACTACTACTACTACTACTACTACTACTACATCTACAATATTACCACCACTACTACTACTACTACTACTACTACTACTACTACTCGTGCTGCAGCTGCTACTTCTACTGCAATACCACTACTGCAATACTACTACTTTTACTACTACAATATTACTACTACTACGACTACTTCTACTAGTGTTACTACTACTGCTGCTACTACCACTACTTCTACTACTACAATATACTACTACTACTACTACTACTATTACTAGTATTACTACTACTGCTGCTACTACCACTACCTCTACCACTACAATATTACTACTACTACTACTACCGCTACTACTCCTACTACTACTACTACTATCACTAATACTACTACTACTAGTAGTATTAGTACTACTGCAATACTACTACTGCTGTTCAAGTCTTTGCTCCTTTCAGGTCATTTTATTATCATTTCAAGCTTTAATGTGGTAAAAGTAGTAGTAGTAGTAGTAGTAGTAGTAGTAGTAGTAGTATTTTATAGAGCAGTGAAACATTAACCCGTCCCACTGACCCGTCTTTCCTTTTTTCACTATTTCACAGGTGTCGTGCTCTTGAGACACTGAACACAAGTTTGGGCTAAAATCAGGTTTAGAGATCCTTAAAATAAATAATACTATAATTCATTTTCTTTTTCAAACTACTACTACTACTACTACTACTACTACTACTACTACTACTACTAAGTGAAAGTGAAAGTGTCCCTTATATGTTTCTTGTTTCTACTGAAATACTGAGTCATAAAGTACATCCAGCTGAAAACAGACTGCAGATAAGTGGGCCGTTTGAAGGAGTGGACTTTAGTACTTCATTACCTCTGGTGTTGGTTTAGTCAAATACTACAGATAGAGAATTTTGGAGTCTACATTTGGGACAGTGTACTTTGATATACTTTTATAGTCAATTTCAGCCTCTGATGTCATCACTCGTAACGTCCTTATTTGGGTTAGGTATGGTCCAGTCCTGGTTTAGACCTGGTTTAGTCCTGGTTTAGTCCTGTTTTAGGTCTGGTTTAGTCCTGTTTTAGACCTGGTTTAGACCTGGTTTAGTCCTGGTTTAGGTCTGGTTTAGTTCTGTTTTAGACCTGGTTTAGACCTGGTTTAGTCCTGGTTTTAGTCTGTTTAGTCTGTTTTAGACCTGGTTTAGACCTGGTTTAGTCCTGGTTTAGGTCTGGTTTAGTTCTGTTTTAGACCTGGTTTAGTCCTGGTTTAGTCCTGTTTTAGACCTGGTTTAGTCCTGGTTTAGATCTTTTGGTGCTTGGAATGACAAATATTGTCTTTAAGGCTCTGCACCTGATTTTTTTTTCTTGTCAGTACAGAAAGTTAAGGTCAAAACGAAACTGCTCTGTACTGCCTGCATTTAATTATACAATATTTTAGTGTCCAGTCGACAGAAAGTGAGGGGTTAGCATGCTAGTTGTTGTTACATTTACAGTGACGGCAAAACTCCACAGTGAAAAACACCTTTAAATGGAGGGAGAAATTGTGGTTGTGTGGTTCAAAATGATGCAGTAATAATGCAGTAATAATGTAGTAATGATGCAGTAATAATGCAGTAATAATGCAGTAGTAATGTAGTAATAATGCAGTAATGATGCAGTAATAATGCAGTAGTAATGTAGTAATAATGCAGTAATAATGTAGTAATAATGTATAATAATGTAGTAATAATGCTGATGATCTTCATGATTATTTATTTGTTTTTATTATGATTTTAATGTATTTCTTATTCTGTAAAGCACTTTGAATTACTTTGTGTATGAATTGTGCTGTACAAATAAACTTGCCTTGCCTGTTCACACTCTCTCCTTTTCTGTTATTTAAACTGAAATAGTGTGAAGAGAAAACAG